CCTAGGGTCTCACCCTGGCAGCTGAGACAGGCCACCCCAACCGACTTGGTAGCACCACAGTGTCAGCCTTATCAGATAGGTCTCCCCAGACCGACCCACTGGCTATGAACATTCTAAACTAACACGAGTCTCATTAAGTGTCCAGTTTATGGGTATTACACAAAAACATACCAAGGGAACATGAACCAAATATGCACTTTTATTCATTTACAATAAACTCATAAAGTACATCATTCTGATTGATGCTAAGGGCATACAAAACTGTCTAACATGCACACCCTCCAGCCAGTTATTGTTCTTGTGGGAGTTGATTCATTATTTTCATTTATAACTACAGTAATCCCACCTTTCTTTGGTTTGACTTGAATGGGGCTTACCCATGATGAGCCAAAAATTGGTTATATAATACCTGCTTCGAGCCATTTCAGAATTTCTGCCTTCACTACCTGTTGCATTTTAGGATTCAGCCTCGTTTGTGGTTGTGCCTTGGGATTGCAGCCCTCCTTCATCAGAATTTTGTGTGTGCATAACAACGTGCTAATCCCTTTTATGTCGGCGATGCTCCATCCTATGGCCGATATGTGTTGGTTGAGCACCCTCACCTACTTTTCCTCTTGGAGACCTGTCAATTCAGAAGAGATAATTACAGGTAAGGTGGAACTGTCTCCCAAAAACATATATTTTAAATGAAAAGGCAAGGGTTTAAGTTCGAAAGCCAGAGGTGCTTTAATGGAAGGTATTAATTGTTTAGTGGAGGTCGGCCCATCTAATGGTAGAAATCTCCCTTGTCTTGGTTTGCATTCTTCTTGGCCGGCCTCTAAATAATTCATTGCCTGCTCTACCTCGTCCTCCATCACCTGCATGTTATTACATGAATTAATGATACATTTTTCAAAGGGGTCATTTATCTTTGATTTATTAATTTCTGCTGCCACTACATCAATGGAGTCGATTACATATATTTCATGTTCTCTTGTGTTGGGATACTTCAGAGTTTGGAAAACGTTAAATATCACTTCTTCACCATTGATCCTAAGAGTAAGTTGGCCCCTTTGTACATCAATTAAGGCATTACCAGTAGCAAGAAAGGGACTCCCTAGAATTAATGGCATCGATCTGTCTTCCTCCATATCCAATACAATGAAATCAGCAAGGATGATGAAGTTCCCTACTTTAACTAAGACATCTTCCACTATTCCCCTAGGGTATTTAATGCTTCGATCGGCCAGTTGTAGGGTAATGGTGGTAGATGTTAGTTTATGTAATCCAAGTCTTTTAAAAATAGAGTAGGGCATCAAATTTATACTAGCACCAAGGTCACATAAAGCTTTCTCAAATTCAGCATTGCCTATGGTGCAAGGGATAGAAAAACTCCTTGGATCCTTCAGTTTTGGGGGTAGCTTATTTTGAAGAATGGCCGAACATTCTTCGTTTAGCTTTACCATCTCACAATCCTTCCACTTCCTTTTGTTGGACATTACCTCCTTCAGGAATTTGGCATACTTCGGCATCTGTGACAATACATCAAGAAGATGAAGGTTACTATGGATCTTTTTAAATACTTCCAAAAATTTTTCAAATTATTTATCTAATTTAGCCTTCAAGACTCTTCTTGGGTAGGGGATAGGAAGTTTAATTTCATCTAAATTCAGTTTAAGGGTGCTTCCCTCATTCTCTTTTTGCAGCTTGGCCGATTCAGCTTCCTTGTCGTTTAATTTCATCTAAATTCAGTTTAAGGCTATGGTGTTCACATGCTCTCTGGGATTCTTTTTCGTGTTGCTGGGTAGCCTTCCCTCCTTTCTTTCCGATAGCATGCTTACAATCTGCCCCACTTGAACTTCTAAGTTCTTGATTGATGTTTCTTGGCTTAAGAACCTCTTATCTTGTTCTTGAAACCTTGCTTCAGTGGCATTAATGAACTTAGAGATCATTTCTTCCAGATTACTCTTTTTTTCTTGTGGAGGCAGCTATTGTT